TGAAGACCACATTTGATTTCCTCTTGCTAATAGTTACTTTATACCCTCAGCCACCAAATGAATGTATGCCTTGTTCCCCTTGCTCTCATGCCGGGCTGAAAATCTGCCTGTTCATGTGTTGCAGTTTTCAGCTAGAGATCTCTGACAACCGGAGGGAATCAAAAAAAAAAGGAGCTCTCTGAACAAGTTTGACATTTTGAAGTCATTTCCCCCTCAGCAGGGTCCTAAGTAGGCCTTTTTATTTTTATTTAAAAAAAAAAAAAAAAAGTGTTTTAATAGTATATACTTGCAAAAAATATTGCTTTAAAAAAATGAAAGGAGCCGATATTCTGGAGCAATTTGGCAAAAAAGAAGGAAAAAATAGGGAACAAAGAAAGTTGTTGGGAAAAGCGAAATGGCCACATATAGGCAGTTCATTTGCATTAACAATTATTATTCAAGTATGGAAGCAGATTTTATTTTCATGAAAGTGCCCAATTTGAGAGCCACTTGCAACAAAAAAAGCAGTCAATTTATTGCAAAAGCTAGTCAAATTGCACAATATGGGTGCTTTTAAGTTCTCAGGGAGAGACATGGGTGCAGCTAGGATTTTGAAAAGGGGTGGACAGGTGGTGCGGTGCATCATTACATAACACGACATGCATTTTTCTCCAGTAAAAGAAAAACTGGAACAATTGGTGATATGCTGGGGGACCAGCACTGTATTATTCAGTTTGAGATCAAAGGAGAAACAAATACAAATTTACTTGAATGTGCACTAATTTACTAGAGTCTATACTGAGTTTAAAAAACACAACTAATTGGACAAAAACAGTCAAAAGCTATTGTTTTATTAGTCCTGTAGTCATTATAGCTAAATGGGCATCTCTTATTCAGATTCCTAAAACACAGTCTAGCTTTCCAGAGCATGTTGGCTGCGCACCCAACACTTCACGGTTAGCCATTTCCAAATATGAGCGAATGTTCACCTGAGTTAATATTACCACACCTGAGTTAAAGTTTTTAACTAGAACTAGGCTTAAGTACCTTTAATGTGTATAGTTTAAAAAATGGAGCATTTCCTCTGCCTTTCAAACCATGATACAAACAGTATTCATTTATTAGGCTACTTGAGTAGGTAGCCTACATCATCCGTGCTATTTATAGTTTCATAGTTTCATAGTTTCATAGTTTCAGGGTCGGAAGGGACCTAATAGATCTTCTAGCCCGACCCCCCGCCAGGGCGGGAGAACAACCCAAAAACACAAACAAAACCACTCACCCTAAAAACAAAAATGGGACTCAAATGAGTCCAGCCAGGTAAGTATCCAGCCTCTTCTTAAAGATCCCCAGGGTAGGGGCCAGCACCACCTCCCTTGGAAGTTGGTTCCAGCTCCTAGCCGCCCTGACTGTGAAGTAGTTTTTTCGGATGTCCAATCTGTACCTCCTCTCCATCAACTTGTGCCCATTATTCCTTGTTATGCCAGCAGGGGCTAGGGGAATTTTTTAATTGGTGTGATATTATATTTAACCTGGTTTTTTTCTAAGATCAGGAGAGAAACTTAAAAAAACCAACCCAACACAGCTGACTTTATTCACCAAATCTTTATTTCACATGCATAAATTAAAAAAAAAACCCAACAGCCCAGATACATTATCCCGCCCCCCAGCAATTACTGTGATATAAATAGAATTATGTAAATTAGATGATGTAAGCAGAGATGCAAACATATAACATGTCTCCCTACAATTTTCATGGGGTTTTAATGCTTTTTCTTTGGATTTGCTCTGTTTGACTCTGGCTAATCACAAAGGCCTGGCTGAATTCCTATTAAAGTCAAGAGGGAGGGTCCAACTCTTTCCAACGGGAGTTTGGCTAGGCTTTATGAGCCCTGTGGTGACCACTCGGATAACAAATTCTTCCTGCCCTACTGGCTTCTCTCAGGATTGGTGTTGGATGAGGGGCATCACGCAGGTGCAGCCCACAGTGATGAGCTGTTTCTCCAGGCGGTAGACATACTGACAGTCCCTCAGCTTCCGTCGGAGGACCAGGATCTCCTGCCGAATGGGGACAGAGTTCATGCTGTAGTCTTCCCGGCCTGTGGAGTCCACACAGCTGTAGTGGTGGCATTTGGCCTCGATGATCACCTGGGGGAACCGGTTGGGATCCTTGGTGAAGCTGTGAATCAAAGCACAAGGACGAGAAGGTGTTTGAAGTACAGCCCTGGCACCGTTCAAAGGATGATGTCCTGAATCACCAAGGCCTGGCACCCAAGGAGCCTCAAGCTCAGCCAGTTCTTGGTCTGTCTTTACTCAGACATGATTTGCAGTTCCCCTCTGAAATGCACCTCTTGACATGGTTCATGGACTCAGTTTGGTATTGGCTCAGTTTCTGAGCTCCTGTAATGTGGACTTCCCAAGACTAGTTTCAGTGGAAGTTTGGCTTGATCAGGGGTTGCCTGAATCAAAGCAAAGCCATTTGGCCAAACATTCCCACATTCCCACAACATGAACTACTCCTAGGGTCAGATCCCAACTCCATTAAACTCCCAGTGACTTGAATGATATTGGACTGTGATCTTAAGATATACTAATGGACTCCTTGGGAGGCATGGTTTATGGTTCATAAAGTTCCTAGGTGTGCCCACACTACTAATTAACGATAATAATTAATAAATGGCTAGTTATTATTGTCTGTAGTGGAACATCCTTACATGGGCTTCCATGAGAAATGTCGGACAATGGGTACACGTGCAGATTTCTAGACAAATCTTTGGAGAAGAGAGTGCATTTCCAAATGAAAAGGACATAGATTGTACCTGTAATTCCAGGGAGACAAAGACCGGAGATTGACATCCTGAGCCATTTTGGTAGTATTGTTCGTGTTGCTGATGTTGATGCTGACTTCCACGCTTGTAGGGAACAGGGAGTCTATTTCGGTTGGGCAGTCATCCCTCGTTTTCTGCTCTGAGCCTCTCCCTTTGTTGAGTTGAGGCCCTACTGCCCTGCCATGGGCTGAATTCTTGGTTGAGAGCACCAGGATTAACACTAGGAGTAATGAACTGAACTGAATAAGAGAAACAACACTATTGGTTAGTTCAGAACACAAAACCAGACTATACAGGTCCAGCAGCAAGTTGCACAATCCCATTCATCCACGTTCAACTATACCAGTACTTGTTAGGTTCAGAGACCAATAAAAAAACAATAAAGAGAGAAAACTAAAGGTATGTCTATACTGCTGCTTCAACAGGTCTTGGCTGGGCCTCTTCTAAACAAGTCCTACTACACATACTTGAAACCTGGAAATGAACTAGTGGATCTATGCTGGAGCTGCCTCCGTGGTTCCTCTTGGCTAGGCTGAAGACTGAAGAGTAATGTTTTTGTGACTGAACAGAAACCATGGTATTGCTCATACGCTTGCATGGGTACATTTATACATATTGAATTGGGTCCAGAGGCAGGCAACAAAGATGGTCAAGGGCTTGAAAGGAGGGGAGATGATAGCAGTCTTCAAATACTTGAAGGGCTGGAAGGAGGGGAGATGATAGCAGTCTTCCAATACTTGAAGGGCTGCCATAAAGAAGAGGAAACACACCTTTTCTCTCTTGCTGCAGAGAGGAAGATGCGGACCAATGACTTGAAGTTGCAGCAAAGTAAGTTTAGATTGGATACATGGAAAAAATAAACTTCTTCACTGTGAGAACAGTGAGTCAGTGGACTAGATGCCTAGGGAAGTGGTGGGATTTCCATCACTGGAGGCGTTCAAGAAGAGGTTGGACAGCCACTGGTTGGGGATGATCTAGGCATAGCTATACCTATGTTCTACCATGGGTATTTCCCATACTTCTGGGCTTTGCTGGTTGCTCACTCCCTACCTCCTTTTTTCTGCTATATGTGTCAGGGTGTTTTTCTACCTCCTTTTTTCTTCTATGTGTGTCAGGGTGTTTTTAAGCCTCCCCAGAGGGCAGTCTTACGTAGAGTTTTGATCATGGTTGTATAGGAAGGTTTGGACAGGGCTGATCCTGCCTCGGGAAGGGAGTTGGACTAGATGTGACCTCTGGAGGTCCCTTCCAGCCCTACTTCTCTAGCCTCTATGAAAATGTAAAGGTAAATCCATAGGAAGATACACGCCTTTGCGAAGTGTTAAGGACTGGGAGTTAGGTATTCTGGGTTCTTTTTGCAGGCCAAACCTGTGCTGGTATAAACGAGTACAGTTTTGTTCAGTTCACTGGATTTTTGCCCATATGCCCACACAGAGGATGTCTTTCCCAAGAGTGCAGACATACAGCATGATTGCCACGCAGTGATTTATCCACATTTTACTCGATCATAAGGGGCAGACACAGGACTAGCTCTCACATGGTGGCAGCTGAAGTCAGTGTTATTACACTGCCTGGTCAAGAGGTGCTAGGGGAGCTGGCTTGCCTTGGGCGAATTATTATTCTGGAATGAAACTTATGATAGTAGTGGGCACACGACACACCCACTGGTGCAACCTCCTTCAGTGTAAATTTACTTTTGGTTTTCTTAGAAACAGTGTTTCTGATGGAATAAATGCCATGTTGCATCTCTGCCTACTTTTTCTTTGGAGTAAATTGAGGATCCTCTGGAGCAGGGGTGTCAGAGGTACAGCCGGCAGACTGGTCTGACCTATAGAAGTGGGTCGTCTGGCCCACACCTGCCTCTGAATTTCCCGTGGTGACAGTGGGTCAGCAAATGGCAGGGGACTTAATTCCTGCATGCTGGTTGTGCTGACACAGTGGCTTTGGGTGGATCTGGAGACAGGTCATCCAGCAAACAAGAAGCCCCATGGTCTGGATCAGGCTTGATAATTATATTTGAGTTGGATACCCATGCTCTAGAACAAATATGTCATGTGTCTGCATGTTATCTCTGATTTTTGTGTGTGGCCAGCTTATCAATGGCTGATGGGAGAAACACCAAACATCATTTCCCCTAAGACTTAAACCAAGCAGAGTCAAAAGTCTATGTTATTAGAGTATAATTTGGTAGTATAAAGAAATTCCAGGTCATATCATATCATATCATATCATATCATATCATATCATATCATATCATATTTTGTTGCATGGTATTGCATTGCATTGCATTTAGCAAACAATTTAGCATAAAAGAGATCTAACTTCAGTAGAAGCACTTCCTGCCCTTCCTACTTTAGGATACATAGAACAAAATAATATCGACAAATGATCCAGGCCACTCATCGCACGCTATTGAATCTGCTTCTGAACCTTAGAATGAAAACAGAAGTTAATATTTTATATCGGTAACTAATTAGTGAGATCATGGATCTGCCCCCTCTCTCTCTCTGGCTTCCTTGTTTAATATTAAGGTGTGATCTTTTTAACAGGTAAGCCCAAGGAAATACCCAAACCAAAAACTTTGTTATTACTGAAAATGCATATCAGCAACTAAAATATAACCCTAGAGCATTGTAATCATCTTAAAACAATTACATTCCTAGTAAATTTAGCATTACAATACAAAAAGCGCACAGTGTAGGTCACCAGAATAAGCATGACTCTGCCCAATGCTATAGGCATATGTTTTTAGTATTGCTGGCCCCAAATCAGATGAGACTGATTTTTACAGCCAGGCTTAAGGTCAGGTGATCTGAAATAACAACTACAAAGTAAAGGTTTTGCAGTCAGATTTAGCAAGCAAACCCAGTACTCACCAGTGCAGGGCTCCTTATGAATGCCTTCATATTGCAAGCTCTTGTGTTTTGCCTGTCTCTGTTCATTCACATCAGGGCTTTTTATAAGGACTGTGCTACTGTCATAGTTTCCATTGGAGGAGGTGATCCTTTCCAGCCTTATTTGCTATTCAAATTCTAGGTTTAATTTTAAGAAAAATTCCACCCAAAAGAGGCCACATGAGAGAGAGAGACAGGAAGCACAATTATTGGGGTCATTATCAAAGCTTGTTAACTGCTTGTATCATAATCCTTGACTTCAAGAAGGTGCGTATAAGTGAGAAAGGAATAAATGAGTGTTCTCAGCAAGGAACAACTGTGTAATTTGTGGAAAACCAGCTCCTGGAAATCAGACACAAAATCAAATGTGCTGTGCTGTGCTGATCTGAAATAAGATTAGGAGCTAAATGAATTCGCTCAGTGATGATTATAAAATCTAAACTGAGGCACGTCCCTGAGATGCTTCTTGCATTATAGAAGCTATGGGGTCATAGGAACGACTATGTTACAATAGGATAATCATGCAGTCCAGTGGTTCCCAAACTCTGACAGATTGCCCACCACCAGTTTAAAATGATACAATCTTAAGTACCACTGGCAATTTTTTTCACTTCAACCTTAAGTACCACCAGCCAAGTTTTGTCATATAAAGTAATAATAATGCATCTGTGAACGCGCACCACTGACCGGTTGTCTGCGCAACACTGGTACCAGAGATTGGGAACCGCTGATGTAGCCAACACCTTGTCTGCCACAAAAGCCAGCAGCAGATGCTTCTGAAGAAGTCATGATACAACTTTCCTTTAAGGAAACAGAAATCTAGGGTTGGAAGGGACCTCAAGGATCATCGGGTCCAACCCCCTGCACAAATGCAGAGATGCTATCCCTAAATCATACCTCTCCAAGACTCATCCTATCTCCTAAAAACCTTAAATAAAGAAGATTCTACAATTTCTCTCTTGCAGCCCCTTCTACTGCCTCACTTTTCTAACAGCAGAGATCTAACTTAAATCTTCCTTATTGCAAGTTTTTTTGTCTGTCCCCAGACATCAGCTTTTGTTATTCTCTCTGACAGAGATGTGTTTTGATTCCTCCCACCACTCTTGATTTCTTTTGTCAGTCTTTTTCCCCCGTAGAAATATCCAATCTCTCTCAGCCCTGCTGAATGCATTGTCTTGGTACCTTGAGGCAGTGAGTTCCACGGGTTAACAAGCCGCAGCGTGGAAAAGCACTTCCCTGTCCCAGTCTGCTTCTGCCACTCTTCTGTTCACTGATGCCCACTAGTCCTTGTACGGTGTGGCAGGGAGGACAGACATTCACAGCATGCTTTTGCTGTTGCATTTATTTGGAATAATCTCTCTATGTTATGCTGTCACCTTTCACTGTGGTGTCTGCTTTCTGTGTGAAATCAATAGAAATAATGAAGTCCTTTCGGCTTTCATACTGGCAGAGCCTTAGCGAAGAGGGGTGGCTGTGTCTCCCAGGTGACCCAGTCATGGACCAGGACCTTACTGCATTATATAGGCATGGGACCAAAGGGCTGTTCCCACTTTTCAAGCTCATTTTTTCCAAATAGGAAATTTTTGTAGTGTTTCTTCAAAGTGCTCAGGTGAAACATGTTTCTGGAGACATATTGCATGGCTGGGTCCCTTGGACTGAGAATGTCCCTTCTTCTTCTTTCTCCAGCAAACAGTCCTTTTTCCACAGCTCTTCAACCCAGATGTTTTCCAAAAAAGGCTGCCTATTCACACGTGAGAGAAGAGTCCTTGCAAAACAGTACTAAGAGCTGATGCAATCAGTATTCAGGCCCCTGTCTAAGGATGGATCTGTCATGCCTGACTCTTACTGAGGTCAACACATGTGGGGCAAGGATGGGATCTGAACCTAAGCAAAGACGAGGAGCTAATCATGGAGTGTAAACCTCCAACAGGTGGATAAAAGACCCAATTCAACCAGATCAGAGGGTTTGCTGGTCTTAACTGGGCAAGGGGATCACTTGGTGGGGGAGGATGTTATAAGGGAGGAGCTCTCTGCTAGGGAGAAGAAGAAAGGATCAGAATGGAGGGGATGATTAGCACTGCATCCTGGGTTACTTTTGGTGGTAGGTCCTGTGGGAAGAGGCCTGGGAGGGGCTATTTTCTACTGCAAAGGCCTGCAGGAGATAGGGGGTGCAGGGGGGAGATGATCATGGTGTGGGAGACTTGCAAGGGGCTATTCTCTGTGATGGTCCTGATCTTTGGTCAGAAATGGGCAGCTGGAGGAGACTCAGGCAGTGATCCGCTGGTGGCAGAAACTGCTTTAAGTGGTGGATTTTGTTCATGTGCTAAGACAGGGGGATGGAGGAGTACCCTTGGGTGTGTTACCTCCAGGAAATAGGTCCTGAAGACCAGGAGGCTGGGGACTGGGCATGGTCTTACCCCTTCCAGGGTAGGTAACGGGGCTGGAGGGGCAAATCAGGTAAGAAATAGGCCACTGCAGATCTACTGAGCCTGCTATCAGGGGAAGAAGAAGAAAGCTTGAGGGGCCCTATCCAGCCAGAACAGGACATGCTGACCATCCTGGTAGGGCTTGAAGCTGCCAGGGTATCAGACTGGGTGGGGCACTGAGCAACTTCCACGCACGCTGAAGGTGTAAGTTGCTGAAAGTGCCCAACGTCACAGCACCGAGGATTGTATCCCTACACACAAATGACAATGCAGTGGCTGCCTGGATAGGTAAGATTGCCTGACTACAAAGCCAGGAAGTCACTTTTCTTTCTTTGCAGCCTGTCTCCCTCCAGTGTCCCTCGACCCACTTGTAATGTACCTTGTTACTGTAGTAGGCTCATGACACATACCCCATTTAATGCAAACCTGCTTTCAGGGGAGTTTCTGCTTCATCTTCCTAGTAGTTTGTCCCTGACTTTTATCATTTGGAGGTCAGTGCTGGCTGAGGTCGAACTGTCCTGGTGCAAGGTTGAATTTTCTTTTGGCTTCTAGGAGGAAGGATTTTTATAGCAGGGAGCCCTGTTGGAGGACACTTAATGGTGGCACCTGGGTTTTCCAGCTAGGCCCCTGTCAATAATCTTTGATTATAGCCACTGCTCGGAATTGATCCATTGTGAAGCCTCGCCCCAAAACATCAGGCCCTCACTTGACATTTTGGAGCCTGATCCTGTATCAAGCTGTCTCCATTGGGAGTCTCTCCACTGTTTGACCTGCAGCCAGATCAGCATAGATGCATCAACCAGTGAAAGTCATGGTAGATCCCTTTTCCCCCATGATTTTGCATGCCATGCTTGGAGGCAATCCATTCTCTAGGGCGTGCCGAAATCCCTAAACTCCTTGGGAAACCCAGGAACAACATGATCTGGTTAGATTATTCTCTCTGGATGACCTGCCTATGTACTCATGTCTGGCATAGAGGCAAAACCTGGTGGATAGGAATGGAAGTACCATGTCAGCCATGATTTTGATCCATTAAAGAAATGTCTACCCGGGGGTCTCTGCCTTCATTTGCATATCTTGGGGTATAAAATCTTGCTTTAGACCTAGTCTTCCTTTGAATCAGGGTGGGGAAGGAGGGAATGAGAACAGGAATAGGGTCAGGCAATTGAGACTGAAAATCAGGAAGATAAGGTAGGATCTCTGCAAGCCTTGCTGGATCCAGAGCATGATGATGCAAAGACATCTGTGTAATGAAGCCTCCTAACCTGAGCCTTCCACCTTCTCTCATGGACTTGCATTTTAGCCCTAACCATCTTCCCAGAAAACCCTCCCATAAGGAAGGGTACTGTATTTTACTAGCCAGGTGCTTGGGGTCCTGGTGAAAAGGTAAGTACTTGTTAGTAACTGTGCAGCAAAGTATTTGCTGTAGTAGGAGAGCTCACTGTCATGCAGCCACAGTGTCGGCATTGCCAAATGTTTACTCTAGTCATCCCATTCCTGTTGTTCCCTGCTAAAGGGTGCTGGATTGAATATTACTTCAGGATGCCAGGTGGGGTGGATGGGTTACCCTCCCTGGTGGTACTTGTCCTCCCAGATCAAATACCCACAGAGCAACAGAATGAATACACTCCTTCAGTAGTTGGCTCCATGCTTCATGACCTGTGACTACTTGTCCCACCGCTCCCACCAGCTATACCAAACCTCACAACCCCGAGGAACTGGCACAGGGAGCCGGCATGGGAAGTTCCCACTTTTATATAGTCCCATGCAAGGGACATGCAGGTTTGATTCCCCTCAAATTAAATCTAGGTCTCCTACATTCTTGGGGAGTGCTCTAACCACTGAGCTATTGGATAAAAGGGGGGACCTCCCCACTTCATCTGGATGCATTTTTTTGGGCTGGGGTTGCCACCTAATTCCAAGAGGCTAAGGATTGTGAATTCAGATTGGGTAGTGGGGAAGGACCTGAGTAGGATGCCTCAGTTCGAGAGAGAGACCAGGCTTAAGATGTACCGGTGTCATCAGCATTTCCTTCTGGCCAGCTGAGACAGGCACTTAAACATCTGCTCTCAGTGGTGGCAGATGGCAGGACAAGGAGCAATGGTCTCAAGTTGCATCAAGGAACAATGGTTTCAAGTTGCAGCAAGGAAAGTTTAGGTTGGATATAAGGGAGAACTTTTTCACGAGGAGGGTAGTAAAGCACTGGAACAGGTTGCGCAGGGAGGCTGTGGACTCTCCATCCTTGGAGGTTTTGAAGACCTGGCTAGACAAAGCCTTGCTGGGATGATCTAGATGGGGATGGTCCTGCTTTGAGCAGGGGGTTGGACTAGATGGTCTCCTAAGGTCCTGTCCAACCCTCATTTGCTATGATTAGACACTACAGTAATCAGTGGCACAACATTTTAGTTCTTTTATGGATCCAACTCTGATGCATTTTCTTTCTAGACTCCAGAGTTGATGACTTTTGAATCAGGGTTTTGCAAATAACCTGAAGCATGTCCTATTCACTCTATGCCTGCTCCTGACTCCAAATCCTGACCTCTGTTATGTCATTAGGGTGTAGGTGCAGATAGGCTTTACTCTGCTGTTCCTGA